GAAGGGTAGCTAATGGGAAGCTGCGCTATGTTTTGGCTGTCCTGTGTCGTGTAGATGAGATCTTCTTATTTTGTATCTATGTAGTAGTGCAAACAGGCTCACACCCGTGTGCTCACACTCCAAGGAGAACCGTGCTGAGTAAGGCTTTCCATTGTAATCCTAATCAGATCAGTGAGTGAATGTCAGCTGGCCCAGCGAACTCAGCTGCCCTTTTCAGGAAGGATGCTAACAGCTCGCTGGCATCCAGCACTAGCTCGGGCAGCAGCAGAGTGCTCCTTCAGTGCATTGAAATTGCGAGCTCGCCATTATTTCTTGTAAGAGCAATTACCTTGCCCCTTTTAAAATAATGGAGAGATCGCAATCAGACATTAAAAATGATTGCTGACGAGAAACAAATTAAAGCAGCATGGCAATAGATTTCTCTTTAAGTGCTGTACAATAATCAGTACATTTTTTTTAAATCATTATAAAAAGCAGTCGAGCTGCGCTTGGGCAAGTTGCTTGTTTTTCTGCTCCTTTGTGTGGCAAGCACCTGATAAACATTCAGGATTTGCCTGAGATGTTTAACAGCTCACTCTTTCTCTTCTTGTGAGTTAAAAGCCAGCACCAGCACAGCCAGCCTGCTCTTTTAAAGAAACTTCCTGGGAGGAATTTTACTCACAGTCGCTGTTTTGGAAATGTCATCAGGTAAAATGTGCTCCTGCTCCCAGCTGCAGCGATGTGCAGGCAGTATCTGTATAACTGCTAACTGCTAAATGAAATCTGCTCTGCGTTAATGGTTTACTTTGACCCGCTGTCATCACTCCCTTGTTATTATCCTTGAAGCACGAACCATAAGTTATGCTGGTCTGCAGTTCTGGCAGTTTTACCTTTGGTGTGCAGCAAATAGTTTCTTCCCAGCACTGCCAGGGTTTATTTACTACAGCCTTAGTGTACCTGAGCTACCTTGGAGGTGGCATTTCCAAGCAAGGGGGGATTCCCAAGGACCAGCAGCTTCCTACTGGGATAAATTGGCATAAAACCCACGTAAATGAGCACTTTCCCTGACTCTAGCTATTTTTCTGAAGCAAGTATATCACTAACTTATTAAATAATTCTTATTACATTCCTCTTTCATGAACTCCAGCCTTCTGGTAAGGCCACCTAAGTATTTAGTGTGCCTCCTGTGCTTCTGAGCTCTGCGTCGAGCGCCGCCCGTCCTGCTGCTGCAGTGAGCTTCGCAGCCGTCCTCCCGTTACTGCCTGGGGTGGGTTTGCTTCTGAAAACCTTTTCAGCCCCGGGCTGCCTCTAGTCTGGTTAAGAATCACTCTGCAGGAGCAGGGAAAGCAGAGATGAAAGCCAGGTCTGAAGCAGTCAGGTGGTTGGGATCCTGTTAAGAAGAATTTTCTGACTTGGAATAGCTTTTTACTCACCTTATTTATTGTCCTGTCGCTCCTCTGTCCCCTCAAACCATCCCGAGATGTATTTTTTACCCTAACTGGCGTTCATCATTCTCTGTAACCTTTCATACCTTCATCTTTGTGATTTATCACCTGTATTTTTATTTTTTTGTGGCTTTTCAGCTTCTCCAGAGGGATTGAGCATCCCTGCGTCGCTGATGATTCATGTCCACTGTCCCCTTTGGTTTATTAGCCTTAATCAGCTCCCGAGTCCGCCAGGATTTTGCGTGTTAATCACGTGCAATTAGCAGCTCTGGAAGGCACCAGGGATCATAATTTAAAGCAACAGACACGGTCGAAATGCTGTTTGTGTGCAGGGTTGCCTTCCACAGCGGTGCAGTGGGTGGCAATTTGCCACGCGTGTGTATTTTTAGGCTAACAGCTGCTTTCCCCGCGCCTCCAGGGGCGAGGCAGCGCTGCTCTGCTGGGATGCATGGAGCTGCGTGGTGCCGTGGCAAGGGGACTGCAGGAGCTCGCTGCTGGCAGCGAAGCCTGGTGCAGAACCAGGGGGCTGCTGCCTTGCCAAAAACAGGTTGGTGGTGGCCTTCCTCCGTGTGAGGCAGTGCCCCGTGGAGATTTATCAAGGGGAAGCTCTTGGCTTGCGAGTGGGCTGTGTATGAAGCTCCCAGCTTCCTCTGAAGCACCATTTGCCTTCCTCAGCCCCTGCTCTCAGCAGCAGGATGTTTGTTACGTGAGACAGGGATTTTCACGTCCCCACCCACTGAGTTAGTGTCTCTGCACGTGGCCCAAATGTTTCTGGTTTCTTTCAGTGAGTTAATCCAGCTTTGATCCAGCCAGCAGAAATGTGGAAAAAGCCTGTGGGCGCTTCTGGAAGTAAAAATTGGTAACTCGCACTTCAGAGGAAAGGGTGCTCTTGATAGGCACTGGAAATGATGTCTCCTTGAGCCGTGCTGCTGCAGAAATGCTTGCAACAGCTGCCTGGGTGGCTGCTTATGGTTCGCTGGGTTGTAATGAGCAGCTTCAACCAATTTACACCTGCCCTGATACTAAAAGGGTTCTTCCCTCTCTCCTGTGGGTTGTACCTGTCCAGTGCTGCCCTACCTTCAGCTGCACAATAGCGTGACGCACCTGTAGTTCAGCCCAGTGGAGGAAAACAAGGTTATTTCTCAGATCGGGCGCTGTCTTCACATGTGGGTGCTCATCTACCTCGTGTCCCTTGTGGCCTTTCATCTGCCGTAGCAAAGCCAGGCTGCCTCGTCCTCAGGTGGAACAGCAGCCATGCAGTTTTCAGGTCTTGTTCTTTGAGATCAAGGGCTCAATTGAACACCCCATGGCAGAGCTTCAGTATTGCTGAGTATTTCAGTAATTATTGCTGAGTATTTCAGTATTACTCATTTACTACTACATCACTGCTGAATGTATTACTTACCCAGGTATTTACTGAGCACGTGGTTCTCTTCTCAGCCATGGCACTGTTGGGGTTGCTTCCAGTACTGCTTCAGTTTTTGCTATGGCCTGACAGTTTTATTTGGATTTACTTTATGGCCATTAATTGATGTTAATTGTGTTCAGTTTATATGAGAATTTATGTTAAATTAGAAATTAGCATCAGTTCATCACCTTTATTGATTTTAATTGATGTAAATATGCCTGTTTCCTCTGGTTAATTGTATGCCTAATTTCAAAGTTGGGCAGAATGGATCACACCTAAAATTAACAAAGAGGGAGCTTGAAACTGTGCCTAAAATCTTAATGTGTTAGCATTTAAAAATGTGATAGTAATAGTTCTGTGCCCTTAATGATAAGCAGCATCTGCCTGCAAAGCCTGTTTTCCAGTCCGTGCTGCTGATCGTTGCAGGAGATTCCACCTTCCTTTGCTCCAGAGCGGCTTTATCCCTACAAACGCTTCGTTCCCCTGGCAGTGAAAGCAAATAAACTGAGCTCTTCCTGTAAAGCAACGTGAGTAGGTGGTGTTTGCTGGAAGTTATGCATCATGCTTGGAAAAAACACATGGGACTGAAAAACAGACGGAAGAAGCACGTGTGGAATACTGCCTGGTGCCCGGGTATGGCAAAGCAATGTGCCATCTCTTAAGAAGGCAGTGGCAAGAAGTCACCTTAAGAAGGAGATCTTGCTCCTTCTGCTCATGTCAGCCAATACATCTGAGGCCTTACGAACATCACGGGCTTCTGCTGGCTCTCTGCATCTTGGAGGGCAGATGGTTTTCATGTAGACATTGGCTGGGAAAGCACGTAGCACGAAGTGTGGCTGTTTCTAGGCTGAAGGTACTCGACTGTCTGCAGCTGCAGTGACACTTTGCTGGGAAGGTGGTGTCCACATCGGTGCAGCAGTGCTTTAACAATGAGAAATGAGCTCTCAAAAAGCAACCAGGTCAGAGGATAGGAGCCAAAGAAGTGCTGACTTTAGGGGTCAGGGGCGTTGTGAACGTCTGTTACGGAGGTGGAAGGTATGTGGAGGCACAGGGCCTACCTGTTACTGTTCTGTATTGAAGGTGTGTGTGTGCACAGTCCGTATTTAAAGGATTATCTCTTGTTAAATGCTTCTAAGTTAAGCATAACTGCTAATCTTAGATGTTTAGGGATAATTGCTATGTAATGGTGAACACACCTGAAGTTTCCCGACATTTACAGAGTATTTTACGTGTCAGAAGTGGTTAAATAGGGATTAATATTTCCACTTTATGGTTATGTGGAGGAGAAAAGGAATCTGAACTGGGTGCTTTATTGTTTGCCAGTGGTCATAGAGGAAATATTTACCAAACCACTAAGAGAACCTGAAACTTCCTGGCTTCTCACTGTGTGCCAAATCCGTTCACTAAACCGTGCTCTGTTTTCATCTCCGTCCCTCAAAAACTGAAAACTGTCAGCTCATCTGGTAGATAGAAGAGTCACAGGTGTCCAGTGCAGTAAAAACGAATTGATAAAAGTAGTAGTAACACTTGGAGATCAGAACCTGATCTTAAGCAGTTAAAACACAAAGAGGACATAATTGTGATAATAAAGCTTGTTTTAAATAATATTTCCATAAAACAAAATTCCTTATGGTAATATTTTATAGTTAAGTATGTGGTTGTCCAAGGCTGAGATATGCTTGCTGATTTCGAAGGAAATAGTGGTGCTAAGTCTTCTGTTCCACCACGGAAGAACTAAGGAGTTCAGTTGCCTTAGAATTTCTCCTTGGATGTTTCCATGTTAGTATCTTGGTTTGCTAAAATGCAAGTTGAAAACCTCATTGGAAACTTACTTGCATTGTTTGGCACTGAAGTACCTTTAAAATATGCCCACAACAGATTTCTTGTTCATGTAAATCCTTTTTTATATTTTTTTGTCAAGTAAGGTAATGAAAAGTGTTTCAATTAAAGCATCTATGTGTTTTACTTTGCCATCATGGTTGGTGATATCACTGCCTTCTAGAATAGCTGTTAGGTTTGCATAGGGCAATGCAGGTAAGTACCAGTGTTTTCCTGAGCATTATTGCTTATCACCCTTTACTCTGACACATGGTGTGGGAAGATCAAGCAGGAAAACACAAATACAAATGTTCTCATCTTTTTTTCCTTTTTTTTTTTTTCCCCTCTAGGATTACGAAGGCTTTTTTGAATCAAAGGAGAGCAACACTGTCTTTTCCTTTCTTGGACTGAAACCAAATTTAGCATCAAAGGTCAGTGTCATATGGCAGACTTTTCGTGGGATTCTTGAAATATTCAGACTGAGCTGCCCTTGAACTGAATGAACTCCCTGTGACCAGATGCACCTCTGTGCACTATAGCTGTCCATACCAACATCATGCTAATGAGGTAACTGAAACAATTGCAGTGCAAAGCATTTTGTAAAGCAAAGTGACACTAAGCATATACATGAGGTAAGCTGAGACTGCAGGTAAATAATGTTTAAAGAGTACATTTTGCTACACATTGTCATAGTAAATTGAAAGCAACTGGCATACTTAACAGGACAGAGCTAGGGTCTTGGTCACTGAAATATCCAGAGCTTATGTCACCAAAATATGATTGTGCTGAACCAGCCTGGCTTAGAACCAGCCTTAGTGGCCCAAGCAGGACAGCATTGCTTCATTATGCATTATTATTTTTTTTAAATGCCGAAATGATGGAGCAGCCAGGAGTTGTAGCAACTTTTTGGATAATAATTAAATTTTAAAGAATGCATATAAGCAAATCGGAAAAGAATTTGAAATCAAGCCATTTAACATCTTTCTGTGAGGACAGTGAAATAGATGAGCTTTTATCGCCATATGGAAGCCTGAATGATCCTGGACATTTGTTCAAGAGGCTGTATGGTGCCCCTTTGGGCAGTAGATCAGACACACAGGAGATTATTTCCTTCCGTTTGCTGCTGTAGGTATAGCTGTGCTGGGTAGCAGTGCTGTTTCAGGCCTAGATGGTTGTTCTTGGCTATCCAGAGAGTTACTCCTGCCAGCAAGTCATTTATTTCTGGATCCCCTGGGGAAGAGGAGTAGGAAGGGAAGTCAGCAGGGAACCCCAAAAACAGGTTATTCTTGCAGTCTGCCTTGCTTTGGTGCTTGGACAATTAGTCCTAAGAAAAAGGTGCTGTTTTGCTGCAGTCAGAAGTAGCAGCCCCTGTGCATCTGTGTTCCTGGGAAAGCACCTGCTGCAGTCCCGCAGGGTTGTCTGTACAAACTTGGCCACGTCGCTGCATCAGTCTGCTACTCTTGCAGAGTGCCGTGTCCTTAGCTGCTGTGTGAATGTGTGAAAGTCACAGATGCAGAAGATGAAAATGCATTCATAGCGTTAATAATCTTTTTTTAATTACTCTTATTTTTCTTTTAAATAGGAGTCATAACCCTAGAAAACCTATCTGAACTATCACCAACCGCATCTTCTGGATGAATGACCCTGTCCTTCAGCACACGACAGCTTCACTTATGGATCACTGTGATAGAGCAAACGCATCCTTAGTAGTAGTCTGCTTGCCATGAGACAGTGCTCTCCAACAATTCGGGGTTAATAACACGTATATGGAGTAGGATTAAGTCCGGGCTACTGATCTTCCTTTTTAAAATACTCACTGTTGGTGTTCCACTTTTGGCTTTGGATTGCTTTTGCAGCTGGCACTGATATTCTAATAGACACACGTTTAAAGATAAGAAGTGGAAGTGGGGGCTGCTGTCATTCGTGGGTACTCTCACATAGTTGGGTTCCTTACCTTTTTTTGATTGTTCCAGCTACTGTTGTTGAAGTTAGGTCGTCATGACAGTAAAAGTGCTGGTGGTTATTGGAATGTTTGTGCTAGCTCAGAGGGCAAAAACTGTTATCTGAAGATCTCAGTCCAAGCCAGTAACTGCTGTATTTTTGCTACCCATTTATTTATTGTTATGTTTGTGCTAGATCGGGTTTATTGTAAGAAGCACGGGTTGCTGACCTTTTTCACGAAACCTTGATTTGCCTCATGGTGCACATTGCAACTGGCTGTTTAAAAACAGTTGTTATTGTGGAGGGGGTGCCAAAGTGAAATATTTTGACGTGGTTCCTATTCCAAATGAGGGTGAAAGGCAGGTGAAAACACTTGGTGGGATTATACTTGGTAGGTCAGAAGAGGTCTTATAGCTAAAGATTACATAGGTATTTCTCTATTGAGAAGGACTTAACACCCCAAATTGGAACTTTATAATTGGATTGTCTTAAGATGAAATTTTGCCAAAACTTGGAGTCAATTTTTAATAAAACACAGTTCCACCATTAGCCACGAGAGAGTCAGGACAACCAATTACGTGGGAAAGCTTCTTTGCAATGCCCGGCCTCTGACTGTGGCTCGAAGGAAGCCCAGCTTCTTGTAAGAAGTGTCAGGAAGCAACCCTGTCTGTGTAACAAATCACATGTTCTATTAAAATCAGTAACTGTGGTGTCCTAGACAGGTTAGCTGGAAAGGACAGCTGGGGATCATCTGGTCCAGCCTTGTCAAAACCAGGGCTAACACCAGCTCAGCTCTGGTCAGTTGTGAGGTTGTTTCACAGAGTGTTAGAGGCATCCAGAGGTGGAGATCTTGCACCTTGTGCTGATGCTGCAGGACTCCCCTAGTGCCAAGCACGCACTCCCAGGTTGTAATCTGTGGCTGTTGCCATTCCTGTATTTTCTGGCACTCATGGGAAGAGTTTGGTACCATCCTTTTCGTGCCCTCAAGATAGTTGTAGGGTGTTATTAGGTCACCTCTTAGCCTTCTTGTGCCAGACTAACCAAGCACAGCTTCCCTACCTTCTGTTTGTAGGTTCTGCTTTAGGCACCTGGCTGCTTAGGTGTGGTGGAGGGCCTACTGTCTCCAGTTGCCTCACATCCCTCTACAACTGGGAAAAGGTCCCCAAAGTGGGCACAATATTTTGGATGTGGCCTCACCAGGGCTGAGCAGAGAGGGACAGTAACTGTCAGCAAGAGCATTGCTGGCTTGTGACCAACCTGTCCTTCACCAAAAACCCAGTCCCTCTCAGCAGGGCTGTCACTCTGTCAGTCACTTCCCAGCCTCTACTGGTGCCTCACCGCCCCCAAGGACAGAGCGCGGCACTTGCCCTTTCCAAGCTTCATGAGGTTTCTGTTGGCCCTGCCTTCATGGCTGTTGAGATCCCCTGGACTGAAGCTTTGCCAGCTGTTACCAACCACGCTGCCAAGGTCGGTCCTGTTCGCAGGTTGCTGAGGGTACGTGCTAGGTCACCATCCAAAGATGCTGAACAACAGGGGAGCTGTTGCCTCTCAGATTTTGGACAAGAGGTGACTCAAGACTACAGAGGTATGACATGAGCACTGTTTATGACTACGAGTTTCTGGGGTAAAGCACAGGTTACCTTCCTCTTGGTGTTGTCTCAGCTACAAGCTGCTTAGTTACTTTTCCACTTAGTACAAAGGGAATACTCGATGAATTTTCCCTTTAGTATAAAGGCAAGAAAGCTTTAAAAAAGGAGATGGTAAGTTTTAAAAGATGTCCATCCACCAATCAGTTTCCCTTCAGATCCTCTGGTGCCTCCTCAGCTCAGTTAAGGGAACTAGATGGAGCAAGAGCACACACAGATTTCGAGTCCATGGTTGCATTTCCTAGCCAAAATCTTCGTTAGAGCACCTTCTCTAGAGGACTCCTTAATGGGAGTTGATAGCGTGCACATATACGTGTGTATGTCTGTATATATGAGTATGTGAATATGCATTTTTAGGAAGTTTGTTATATGTAGTAAGTTATTGTGATGTTCTTGTCACCATTCCCACGTTCTGGTGAGACTTGAACCTCGCTCTAAGAAGGGAAAGTGACGTGAGGTGGAGCTGTACATTAACAGGTTATATAGAATATTCCTTAAAAAAAAGAAAAAAAAAGTTTAAAATATTTAACTTTGAAAAAGAATACAGATACAAATTTATGTAATGACACAGTTAATTACAGAGAAGCCATCCTGGATTTATCACGTACTTGATAACACTGTAAACTTAGAAAACTGCCCGAAGTCCCAGCTTCGAAAAGCTCTCAGAAGTGGTAGGTGTATCCGCTGCAGTGATCCCGCGTGGATCCCAGGCTTACTCACGGGGAAGGCAAAGTCACACTGAGTTCTCTGGGGATGAAATGAGTTCCACAAAACTCTTGAATGTTGCTAGTTGTGGAACTGAAGCCTCCAGTTCAGTGCAGAGCAAGTTCTGCTGCGGCTGTTGGGCAGCGGTGGCGTGTCTCAGAGCACGCGTGCGGGTGATGCTGGCCGTGTGCAGGGCAGCACGAGCCCCAGACGCATCCTGCTGGCTCACGGGGATCGGCAGTGTTTGCTTGCAAATTGTACATGGCCAGCTCATAAAAAGAGAGTCTGTGTGTTGCTTGAGTGTGAATTTTGCCTGTTGTGCAACAGCCTTATTTTTGTAATGAAAGCAAGCAGAGTTCTAGTTTGTTACACGAGATGATCTGGAATTTTTTAACCAGTTTTGTAATAATGAAACGTTCAGGTAACAGAAACGTCCTGTGGAGAACCAAATGGTCCCAGTTTTTAGTTAAGATTTGTATGTACCCCGCTTTTTAAAAGGGAGAGAGCAGCGTGAATTAAATTTTAATCTTTGTACCGAGCTAAAGTTGCTGCGTGTGCCCACACACTGACTGTTCCAGGGGCTGTGACAGAGGTATTCTCGGTGGTGCCACACGGCTGGATAGTGCCTTGCCAGGAGGAGGACTGTTGGCGCAGGATCTTCTCAGACGTGCTCGACTTTGAACTCAGAGAGAGCAAGTTTCTATTATTGCTATTTTTTTAATAACGCAGTAAAGTGATGTTGGTGAGTCAAAAGACACGTGCTTTGTAGGGCTCAAATAGTTCTTGCTGAGTCTCGTAAACTCTTGAATTTCCTTAGTATGGCTTTCTCTCTTTTATTATTTTATTGACTGTTTAGAATCAAACCTCCCAAGGAAGTGGAAATGGAGTAAAAAGCCCCTAAATCCATCTTTATGCTTCAAAATAACCATCTTATCCAGGTGTTGAGCGGCCCAAGTGCTTCACTAAGATGAGTAAGAGTTGCCAAGCTCATATTAGAGGATTTCTTGGTCCTCCCTCCCTGCCCCTGCCCCCAGCCAGGCCATTTATTCAGGGAGTCCAGTTATTTTGGGACTACCGTGCTTCCAAAAGTAAGAGCCCGAGATCTGAGGCACGAGAGCTGCTTCACAGCAGGGTAAGAGCGGGGTCTTCACCAGCTAGTGCCAAATCCCCTCAGTCTTAGGGGACCTGTCTGCCGGTTTCACTGGGTCTGCTTGTGCGTGCTGTGAGGAGGAGGCAGCCCCGGCTGCCCACCCTGCGCCCCAAACGTCTCGTTGGCAGCACCCTCAGCAGCCGTTCTCGCAGCGGCAGATCCAGCTCACTCCCTTCTTCCTATCCTTTGCCTCTTCCCAACGTGCTTCGTCCCGTCCTGCCGAGACCTGCGCGCAAAGCTTCAGCTCCCGACGTCCCCGTGATGCTGCGGATGCAGACCCGGTGCTCCAGGAGCACGCTGCATCCCATGCTGTGCACGCGTGGGGTCTGACAGTCTGTGTTAACGCCGCGTTCATCGAATAAAAAAATGTTCTGAAAAGATGCTGGGGCGGTGTTGTTTGTGCAGTGGGATGCAGTGATAAAACGCAGGGCTTTCTCCTTGCTGCAGCTCCCTCTGGTGACAGCTTCTCGGCAGGGTGCTGGGCAGCCTCGGAGCTGGTGCTTAGCAGGGGCTGTTTTCTGCTGGACACCTGCGGGTCTAGGTCCTCCCCAGGGAAACGGCAGGAAGGGAGGAGAAGGCAAAGGGTGACTGCTTGTCTCCTGTTCTTACGCTTGGGTGAGTTGATAAATGCTGCGGAAATAAAGGATGGATCCTGTGGGGTGGCATGGGCAGTGTCATCCAGTAACTACCTTTGGCCAAGATGGTCCAGACGGGGTTTGCTGAAGATGGAAGCTGTGTTCGGGTCCAAACTGCTCCTCCAGCAGCTGCCAGCCATCGCCTCCTCTTCCCTTAGCTGCATCCTTACACCCAGCTGCATCCTTAATCCCTTCTGGTGGGAGAAGGGCAATTGGGGCTGATGGCTTTTGCGTGAAGAGGCAGAGCCAGGTGATGCACCGACCGGCTCCTCAGATGCAAGGACTAATAGAGCTCAATTACATTTTAAGCCTGGCACGGGCAGCATGTTCATGTGTCCACGTACACATTTTTCATCCTTTAATTATAAACTCCCTAATTAAAGCTCTACCTGGAGAGGCGGCCAGCTCTTTCTACCTCGGCTGCCTCTGCCTTCCAGCTCTCCCCCCTGCGGGAGGGGATGCCCAGGCTGGCCCAGCCCGAGACACAAAGGTCCGGGTGTCCTGCACCCTGGCACCGATGTGAGAAGACACGGGAGCACTGCCCAAATTCATCGGTGGCCCCGTGGGATCCTGCACGTGGGCATCGCCTGGGAGCAGAGGAGGCTGAGCGGTGCCGGGGCGTTTGGAGATGGGCAGGAGGGCTGCGGGCACCCCCAATGTCCAGGGGAAAGCACCGGGATGAGGATTTCTCCTTACAGTGGCAGCACCATGAAGCAACTCCAGAGTGAGCGCTTTAATTGCTTCAGCTAGCAGAATTTGTAAATGAGGGAGAAAACAAAAACAGAGACGATGTTGATACTTGCTTTCGGCATCTTGGCAGCAGCCTTGTCATTTAACAGTTTCTCGTTTTAGCTCTGACTGAGCTAATGCTTCCATTTAGCATATTTCCTGGGCATATTGTGTGGGCAGATGAAAGGACGGCACTCGCTAAATACATGAATTAAACATTCTCTTGACACACTTTAACCTTTGATTAATTCAAGGTGTCAGAAAAATCGATAGACGGGGATGCGCTCCTTGAACTCACACCAGCTGCAGGAGTAAAATAAAGCTCTTGGAAGGACCTTACGGAGCCAGCAATCTTTTAAAAAGTTACTTCTCTTTCCTCAAGCACGTACAAAATCTGTCTCCTTTCCTTCAGCAGCCAAACCCCGTCTGCTCTTGCTGCACGGGGCTTGGGCTCTCCCCCTCCCCGCTCCTGCGGTGCGGTCCTGTCTTCCCGCGTGTCAGGCCAAAATCACTGTGCTAGCTGCAAAATTGCTCTGGCTGTGCTTGCTCTGACCTCCCCTGTCACGGCTGAATCCCCTCGGTGCACTTCCAGCACATTTATCAGTGGGTTTTCCAGCCTCTCCTTGCTTCACGCTTGGTCATGTCTTCAGCTGCAGCCCCGGTGCTGTGCTCTGTGTTTGCCTCCCTTCACCTGGTGTCACCAGATGAGAGGTAACGAAGATGGGTGAGCAGTACGGAGATGTTTGGCGGGTGGAAGTGTAAGGAACACATCGATTATCTTCTTCCTGGGATAATCAATTGCCTTTTCAAAGCACCACCCATGGGAAAACGCCTCTCACCAAGTGTTAGCAACACCCCCAGAGCAGAGGCATCTGGAGCGGGGGGCTGCAGAAAGCACCTCCGAGTAGGAGCAAGCTTTGGGAAAGCAGCTCCTTGTTAGCCAAAGGGTTGACCACTCAGCAACCAGCCGTCCCAAATAATGAGTTCGGAGATCTGCGCCTCAGCTTGGTTTTAAGGACCATCCGCTTCCGTGCAGCTACAAAGGGAGAGTCCCATCACCAAGGCCGTCCAGGTAGAAAGCTTGGCACCACGTGCTGAGTGCGGTGCCAGCAGGTAACAGTTAAGAGAATGAAGCCCCCGCTAATGGCAGGCAAATCAGCTTCTTAAATTAAAGAAAATAAGTAGGGCGGCTCCTGGGAAATTAATTTTAATTCTAGAGACATTTTCACAGTGGGTTCCTCTTCCTAGCACAGCTGAGATGAAGATGGGGGTTATGACAGACAGGCCACCTCTCCGTGCCGTTATGCCGGCACCAAACTCGTGCAGGATTAGGAAACAACCGAAGAGGCCGAAGCAGCACTTCGTGCAATTTCCAGAGGGATTTGGGGACTTGTTTTCAGCTGTTGGCAGTTCTTCGGGCTGGGAGGGTGGCTTTGCCCCAGGACACGCATCAGGAGTCGCGCCAAGCCTAGGAGCTGCTTCTCGTTCAGGGTGCGTGGACAGGAGCGCAGCAGCTCATCACCCCCCTCAGGTCACGCCAGACCGGCACCTAACGGGGCGATTTGCTGGGATCAGTGGATTATCCCACGCCTTTGCGGGCCAGCATCCGTGACAAGGGTGTCCTCATAAGGAGAGCACGAGCAGAATAGTAAAAGGATGAGTAACCCGTTTCGCACAGAACTAATAAATTTTTTAGAGGGATTTAATTAGCATTTAATTAGCATTTCCCATGCCTTCAGCCGTGCCCCCTGGATTTACGGGACTGAGGTCAGCAAGGCACTGGGTGCTGCCGGCTGCGCAATGCTCCCATCAGCCGCCCCCGCTGCTGCCCCCTCGGCAGCTGGGAAGCTCCTGGCGGCTTGCTTGGGCAAGCAGCACCTCCAAAAACCTGTGCGTGAGGCCCCAGCTGGCTGACGGGCCCAGGGCTTATTGCGTTTTGTGGGATTGGTGAAGGAGACGCGGGAGCAGTGAGCACTGTCCCCGTATCCGCGGTGTTGCACGTGACGGCAGTCCCTGTACCCTGCACTCTGTGACGGGAACTGCAGAACTCCTCCCGTTGTGCCCTGGGACAAAATCTCCAAATCTTACATGGCTTTACTTCATGAAACATCCACTGAGTGCTATCCTTAGACCCAGGGATATTTTGGAAGTGGATGGAAAGAGGAAGGTTACTTCAGCCCTGCCTCCTACTCCCCCAGACACGGGGCTGCTTCACGAGCCCTGCCGAGGGGGGCGCGGAGACAAGGCAGAAACGCCACCACCTCGCGGGGACAATGCTCACCGGGACAGGAGCCACTTCTCCAGAGAGCCCCCAGGGAAGGGTGAGCCACCGTTTTGGGGCTGTTTTGCACCGTCGGATCGATCAGGCCTGGCGGACAGGAGGCTGTGTGCTTAGGAGGAGGTTGAGCAAGGCGAGTCCGGGAAGCTGAGCTCCGTGCCCCGCAAGGATGCCCTGTTGCTTAAGCGGGTTGCTAAAGGAAATCGATTTTAAAAGCAGATGGTTTAATTAGAACGGCAGGCTCCCTCCTTGTAATGCTCTGTCTCTGGATATTTTTACTGTTTTATTAACAAGTCTCTCGTACTTATTTCTCTCCCATTTCTTGACAGATGCTTTCATCGGGGTTATATAAAGCCTTACCCTCATCCCTGCTTTGCCTAGAAATAGATTAAAGAAAGGCTAAAATGCAGATTCGCAATGATGTTCGGAGCAAAATATTTACCACACTTTTTTTTTTTTTTAATAATAAATGCATTTTTTCAGAAGTTTTACAGAAGACAATACTTCACAGAGGTGTCTGCCTACCTAGGAGAGGTTTCCCCAGGGAAGCAGCTCTTGCACTTCGCCTGACAGCAGGAAGAGCAGGCACGAGCTGCCTCTCCTTGCACAGGCACACAGAAATGGGAAAAACCCCTCGGAGAACTTCAGGGTGGCTGTTTTCAGACACCAGATTAGGCTGAGATTAGACAGGCACCCGTTAAAAGGTGTTGCCTCTGTTAGATGAGTTTCTGAGCAGTCAGGTTGAAATTATACAGGGTGACACTAGTTCACCAGAATGTGAAGGTGACGTTAGCCCTCCGTACCGCGGGACTCAAAGAAGGACTCACAGACACCATAAGCTTGTGGGCAGTGGTATCCTCGCATACTTGCTTGGCCAGACAAAGTGACCAACTAATGGACATATCTGAAAATCAATCATGTGCTTTCTTACAAGCCAAGACACCTAAAATACAAGTTCTTTTAAAGTAAACCATAGCCACAGCACCATTTTCAGTTATTTAAATATCTAAATATTAGTTACCTTCCTTCAAAATTAGCAGTGTCATAGAGATCATAGCAAATCTGTAAATACCTTCTCAACCCCACTACCTCATTAGTTGGCTTTCTCACTGAATAAATACACCATCACTTTATTGATGTTAGTTCCAATCCAGCTACTGAATGCATCCTTTGGCTTTATTGTTTCTGGTTTTTGTTTTTAATTAAAGATGTTTTGGTTTTAATTAAAACAAAGCAAACAAACAAAACAAAAACAAAAACAAAAACAAAAGCAACACTGATAGACAGACAGGAATGCAATTTAGCTCCACATGAAGATACCCAACTGCATGTTCTTACATGTGAGCAAGGTACGCAAGCTCCATCACAGCCAGAAGAGTCCTAGGGAAGGCTCAGTTCAGCTGCCTGTATCTAATTACCTAAACCTGGATCCAAATCCTATCTTCCATGGGAAAGATAGCTAATTACTGTACATTATCCCATGATCATCTCTGATGTACCAGCTATCACAGTTTCCAGACCTCCAGGGATGCATTTTCTTTCTGCTTGTCCTCCTGTAGATGACTCCAGTTTTAATACAGTCACTGTGAAGGGGATTCTAGTCACTGTCTTAGATGATCGAGGGAAATGAGAAAAAAGTCTGCTTTAGGTCATTTAGCAGTGGATATATTTTAGAGAAAAGAACTTATTCCAACATAAAATAAAAGGACAAAGCCTAATTTTGTCTTACGGGAACTCT